ATTCTCATTTTCAAATATACAAGATTAATGCCCACCCCAAGGAATACTCTGACATTTTCACAAATTCAAAAGGAAGTTCATAAATATATTTTTCTGATATCTATATTTATCTAGTGGGAAATTCCATTTTGATGCTCTATTTTATACATGTTGTCAAAATCAATTTGGAAATTCCCAATTTTTAAACGTGTCAAAAAGTCACCTGCTTGACCGAAGTGTATTTTGATAGGCCACGTGATTTAATTATTTTGATTGGTAAACCTCATAGCCAATGATTAGATTTTATCAAAAAAGTTGATTTGGAACAGTTTATTGAGCACATAATATTCAATACATGAAATACATTGTTTTGAAATCATTGAAAATAAATAGCTTTGCTTCTGAGAAAACATCTAAGCAAATTGTAAACAAGACAATGACCATTATCTACTAGTGATGTTAGCCTGCTAAAAAATTCCTCTTTTACATTCATTTTTTCGTCTGAAATTCTCTCACAGCAGGATAAAAGTAATAGTCAGAGTTTCTCTTCGTAATACATATTCTTGTTTTAATTCAAATTATTATTATTCGTTATAGTTTTATTTAAATTATTCGTTTTATTTGAATAAACTTCAATGTAATTCGAATATTCAAATCTATAATGAATAAAAAAATAATTCGTTTAAACCATTACATTAAATAGTATAATGACGGAATATTATAATAAATAGTAAATAATAGTGATAATTATAGTAATAATAATGGTAGTAGTAGTAATAGTAATAATATCAGCAAGCTTAGTACCATCCGAAAACTTTTTTCATCAACTTGGGTTTATCTAAGTTCTTAGCCAGTTAAGAGTTATTCGGCTTAGCTAGCTAAGGTTTTTCTACTGGCCAACATCACTACCATCTACCTTCAATAATTATAATTTTCAATTGAATGTTTTCTTTCTAGCTTCAATTTGCATCAACAAGTTGAAATGTGTGATAATATTATAAGTTTCTATGGAAGCATTTTTATCTCTAGTAAAAAAAGTTTTAATTTTTATTAAAAGTAATAATAAATCTTAATAAATTAAAATAAACTTCTTACAAAAGAGTACAAACAAGGATTGAAGAATACTATATGCTAGAATAAAATAAAAAAAAATTTTTTTTGTTGTTTATATATATTATTATTTTATTATTTACATTTT